TACTTGAGGATGGATTCACTATGTTTCGGTAAGTATTCATATAAAACGATATATGTACTACGTCATATGTATGTATGTTCATACATATGTATAGGTATATTTAGGTAATAAAAAATGCAATTTTGTCATCATGTAAAAGTATTTCTCTCTTCCTTCATCTTGTAGTCCTGAACTAGAGTTTGCGAAACTAATTTCCGGTGCTGTCTGTAATCTGCTAAACGGTAATGAAAACGGTAGCGCTGGCGGCACAACACCTGGGGCTGTGGGCGGCTGCGAATGGCGCATAACGACTGTCAACAAGGACTTCAGTGTATGTCCAACATATGGCAAAACACTTGTTGTGCCCAAATCTATTACTGATGAACAAATTGTGCAATCGGCTGCGTTCAGGGATGGCGGCAGATTTCCGGTGCTAAGTTATAGGCATGAAAATGGGGTGAGTAAGTTGTGTAGTTTGTTGATTTCCCATACAATAGAGGTTTGAAAATAAACTGTGTGCATATCGTTCTAAAATTGCAGAAATGTATCTGTACATACATATGTACATATGTAGCTGAAATCAATATCAAGCCCAAAGCAGTGGTTCCGTTGCTATCAATTACATTGTGCAGTATATTTAATCTCTTATGCATATGTACATAAGTGTGTAATTTTTAAATGTATTTACATATCGTCGTTTAAAGTACAAAAGCGCGTATCAACAAAATGCAAAATCGCATATGTGTGTTACTCATATTTCAAAATGGAACTCTTTTTATACAGCAATCGCAATTTCTGGATAGTATATTTCAGGGCGAATGGATAAGGATTGAGCCAAGAGCTTGTGTGAGCAAACCCAATTTTTAGCAGCAAATGTCCGTTACGCGGTTTTGCAGAATGGCGATACGCGGTTTTGTACTTTAAACGACGATATGTTTCTGTGTGAGCAATGCGACCATAAAGCAAATATCGGTCCCCGAAGGTTATAATTTCTTCTGATAAAAAGTGATATTGCAATTTTCTGTCAAGAAAAAACGCTCTTGCATTTGCTGCATGAATTTTAAAATCCAATAAGAAAATCTATAGTACTAACTCAAACTCGAACTTTTTATAAGATAATTTTCTATACATCACCTCTCTCCTTTAAATCTATAGGCTACATTAATGCGCAGCGCACAACCACTCTCCATGCAAGGTATTAAACGTTGCAGGGCCGACGAGGCGATACTTAACGTGGTGCTGGGACGCAGTAAAAAGGGATTCATCGTCGATACTTGGGGTAAGGGTAAATCGAATACCGAAACAGACCAACACTACTCGCAGTGGAAGAAAGTGAATCGCGCCATTGGAAATGTCTCAACACCATCAGCGATTTTGGATAGTTTCGCCAAACTAATTGAAGGTAGCACCGATATCTTAAGATTCTCACAACTGTAGCTTTAAGTTGGCATTCCTCTTTTAGCTTGCAATGATATAACATGCTCGGCGGACAAATGGATATCACGTTTGGAAGCAAGTGGTTGGTTGAGCCTTGTCCTGAATTCGCTAAATGCCGCATGTGTGGTAGCACAATGCCTCGATCAAGAGGGTAGTCCAGTGCTGGTGCATGGCTCTAAAGGTTTGGATTCCGCGCTGATTGTGACGTCACTAGTGCAGATTATACTTAATCCTGATTGTCGCACTGTACGCGGGTAAAGTTTATATTTTTTTAACGTACTATACTCAAGCCTTAAATTGATTTTCCTAATTAGAATACAAGCATTAATTGAGCGTGA